AGAATTGACGACTAAAAAACAAACGTCAAATAAATGTACAAGAAATTAATATATATGTTCATTAATGATGAACAAAGTTAAAAAGGGAAAATCAAATTACAAAAGAAAAAGGCATCATATGTCTTAATTACAGTCCACCTCACACTGAACGAATTTGTTCCCTAAGTTTTTCCCAATCCTCGTTCCGCCGAGAGGAAGTGATGTTCAATTCGGCCACGACATCATCATCAACTTCCAACTTCTTGTACTGCTCAACCAAGGACTTAGTTCGCTCAATTCCCTAGGAGGCGTTGCGCTTTTTAGCAGCCATTCTCGCCTTGCAGTCGTCCATTTTGGCTTGAAGTTCCTTCATCTGAGCAGCCAAATTAACCATCAAAGAGTCTTCAACCATAACTTCGGAAGAGATTTCTTTCAACTCGTCCTCAGCCTTGTTGATCTCCATACGCAGACTCTTTCTCAGATATGGCTCGAAGATATTGAGTACTTTTGACCTTTAGTTCAGCATTCTTGGCCAGCAAAGAAAGGACCTCGGAGTGGATAACCTTCAACGTCGCTTTAAAATCGGCAGAAAGATTGAGCGACGGAAGCGTCAGTGCTTGCTCCAACTTCGCATTCAAATGCTCAAGTTTATCCTTGTGTCTGGCAGCACTAGCCCTTCCAATGTCCATATCCATGAAGGACACGTACTCAAATATCGACTGCTTGAGGAACTTCAATTCTTCCTCTGAAAAAGCAGCAGGAAGGTCAGATGGAGCAGGGCGGACGTCTTGACTTGCCCCCAGGAAGCGAACAAGTTTTGGATAGAACGCACAATCTTGTCAGCATCCTGCAAAGAAAATTGCCAATATTAAATATTCACACTACAACGAACAAGATAGAAATAAAAGTGAAGCAAAGATTACCTCATCAACAATCGTGGAAGATGGCATGTCCTCAGCCAAGTCTGCCACCAACGACTCCTCCATTCGTGAGGACTTCCCTTTGTCTGAGCGAGAAGATGTTGCCACAACGGGCAGACTCATAGGAGTATCTGCAAAACTCAAGAGCAACAAATCAAAAACCAATAGCGCAAGCAAAGGTAAGGCATCAAAAAACTGAATTATCTTCTGCTTCGATGTTTGGGGGGTTGACGCCCTGGGAAGAAGGTGGCTCATCCATGGGTTGTGATGAGAACTCTGGGACTGAAGATGTCTCTTTAAGCGTAGTCCCCTCATCAATCGGTTTGGATGAAGCAGCCTCAGCGAAGGATGATGGAGCAGGAGCTGTCGATGCCAAAGCTTTTGAAGGAGAGGCTAAGCTTTTATGAGAAGTCCAAAAGATCATCAGCACACAGAAGAGTTTCTAGTATGGAAAAGTATGCTTGTGAGTAAACCAATTTAATTACATTCCTCTTAACGATAAGAGGGGCATCATCATCATCATCCTCCAGAATGGGAGATGATGAGGCTGGCCGTTTACGGCTTGGGGCACTCTTGGCTGTAGTAGGCTTGGCAGGGAGAGAAGAAGATGGACGAGTAGACTGTTTAGTGCGACGAGGAGGAGAAGGACTCCGAATGGACAAAGGAGTGACTAAAACAGGAGGAGGGGAAGAAATGCTCGGCTGGTCTAGTGAATGAAAGGCACGATTGGCATCAGT